TTTGAGCGCATTACTGTGTCAAAGGTATACAAATTATTAACGCGTTTGGCGACTATTCTCATGTAGTCTCGTCACGCGATGGTAAATGTCTGAAATATCGTAAGAGCTCAAGCTCTTTTACACATTGGCCATATTTGCAATTGCGCTTTGACTCCACCTAATCGAAGCGAAGTCCTCAATAATCACATTAAATTAAAATATATATTGCACTAGTGTCAAACGAAACGTACTGCAAGATTGCGTGACAAGATTTCATTTATAAGGTGAGGTTCAATTTAAATCGAGTTAAAATGGATAGAAGAAACATTTAATGTGCGCATGCTGTAAAGAGGCTTAAGGTATATATTGCGTGTTTGCCACTGAGATGGACATGGCTAAGTCAGCTTAGTTTTTGGTTCTTCCGAAAAATAACTCTTTTGAGTAAAATTTGAAATGGTCTGAAATGGTCTGGTCATAATTTTATATTATTTGATTTCCTGCAAATACCAATAACAAGTTAGCTGCAGTCCATATTAGACTTTTGAGTAAAATTACAACTCACATATAGAGACAACTTAATTGATGCAGAGTGAATATAATGTCTTTAAATCAGCTCATGTTACAAGTCATCTTGTAATGCTTAAAGAGTTTAAATTATTTACTTTATATTCGAAAATTGGCAAAAAATCTTGATGTAATTCGTTAATTAGTCTATTAGTAAATTAGTAATTGGTGACAGCAGTTTTCAATTTAATTAAAATGAATTATTTCAAATTTTGTGTTATAAGCCCGTCAATAGCAAATAAGAGGCAGTCAAATATGCAAATAAATTGAATAACCAAAGTCGTTAAAACGGGAATTAAAGTCAAAAGACCACATTGCTCTCAGTCCGCTTTGTGCTCTCTTAATGTACTACAATATACTCATTCTGATGTTAAAGAGAAGTGCTCCGAGTTGAAGTTTCTATTGAAGGGATTGTGTTATTGTTGTTTCCGCTCAGCTTCGCTTGTGTGCACTTTGTTGCTTCATTGCCAAGTGCTTTATCACTGTCAGCAGCTGGCGGCATGGCTCAGGGTTAGACGCAGTGACCTTTCTGCTTGGCCAGTTGCTCCATTCCTGAGCCTAGTACGTCTACATTCAGCTGTACTTTTAGCAACTGGGCCATAGTACGGGTTATAAATAATAGAATTGTAGTATAAAATTGAGAGATAATGCTTTCGAGAATTGTCCTTTGGCGTCGTCTGCAAAGTTTTTCTGCTTGGCGTGTTATTTTTGCAAATTTAGTTTTTTATGTTCTTTGTGGTGTTTTTATCACATCCAAAATATTTCCATAAATATAAGTTGTTTGCTTATTGCTTGCGCACAGATTCATAATGCCTTGGCATATTTTGACAGCTGCGACGGCGTCTCGGCCCTAGAACGGTGCTCGGTACTGAGAATTCTTGTTGAATCTTCGTCATTTGGCAGGCTATTATTGTGTGTGACAGCTACGTGGAATGGCATGGCTTATCAATTGTTAAATGACTATTTTATGATTGCGTTGGCCCGAAGGTTTCGCCTAGTCTCTGTTTATGACATTGTTAATGTGTCGCCCTGTCCACGGGCTTGACCTTTGCGGGCTCATCAGAAACGGCTTACCACCTTGTAGTTGCCAAATCCTTTGAGACGTACACAAAAGCACAACATCGCCCACTGACAGCAGCTCGAAAAATATTGCCGGAAATGGGAAACGGGAAGCGGAAGCGCGCGATATACACTGCGTGCTCATCTTACGGCCTCTAGCTAACCACCCCACAAAGTGCTCATAAATTAGCAACCAGTTTTGACGGAAATTTAAGCCAACAGGCAAGGCCGACGCCGACATCGTGGCTGGACTTAAGTTGCGGAAGCCCCACAGAAAGGCAAGCAATATTCTTAAAGACACAAAAGGTATACAAGAAAAGATAACCGACGAAAGGTAAGCAATCAAAATGGGACTTGGGCTTATTATTTGCGATTTCCGATAAGAAAAGCCAGTGGCAAACAATATGCAATATTGAAAATATGTGAATCTCTTTGATATGGATTTAATGTTTGTCTTGGAACAATTTCCAAAATCAATATTTTGGCTTTTATTTAATTTAGTATATGCTCTGTCCAATCTGCGTTTGACGTTACTTCGAGCAGACAAACAGAAACTGAAAGTCAATAAGCTCATTGAAGCGTTGCCAAAAAGCAAACTCAATACTTGGGAATAGAAATAGCTAAAATATGCAGAAGTCTGAGCTGGGCCAGACTCAAGTTCATATGTTGACGGCATCATATTTAACTACAGACACACACGCACACAGGCACAGGCACAGGCAGGAACTCAATTGACATATGGTGTTCACTTGTGTTGCTTACCTTAGGCCAAGCTAGCTCTGAGTTTAATCGCCTTGCCAAGGGATCAATCGAAACCCTCATGGCCCTCCCACAAAAAACGGACCTTGACCATTTTCGAGTTGAGCAATCAGCGCCTGCAGTGTTTAACCACCCACCCACACACGCACACACACACAGAGATACACACGCACATACACACAGGCAATGTGTTGGGATATTTTATGCGCTTTGCTTTAGCATTGGCATTGGCTGCGGCCTTCCGTTGTAGTTGGCTGCCGGATAAATGGGGCACGGAAGTTGTGCGCAACGATCCGTATCCTGGCATTTGCATAGAACAAAAATCCATTGCTAAAACGGAAACATGTTTATTTTGGATGCTGTTCCCCCCGCGCCCACACATAAATGAACGAAATCAAGCCAGAGATGCGTATGTCTCGCTGCTTGTCAGACAGAAAGAAAAGCCTGACACACTGACAAGCAAATTTTTGAAAAGAGCACAGGATTCCGCAATACACATAAATTACGCATGTTCCATGCTGAATTAGGCATGCCCAATTTCAATGTCATCGGGGGAGCACCCAGACCCAGACCCATGCCGCCCAGTGTGTCAAATGTAGCTCCTTAAATGTGGAAGCAATCGCGTGGGCCACACGAATTACGAGACAATATGCCAGGCGGCTCTACTTCACAGCCGTATTCCACCAGAAGCAATTTGTCGTTAAATCAAATCAACGGTACATTAGTCGCTCACTCACGCCCAGCTCGAGCTGAGGCAGTAGTCGGTGGTGCTCAGTGGCCGTGGGTGGGTGGCAGTGGGTGACAAGTGGCAAGGTAGCGAACGGTGGCTCTCCCTAAAAATAATAAACCCTAATTACACATTAAAAATATATCAAAAGAAAAAGAAAATACCCTGCTGCACTTGAGCTTTGCTCTGGTTATATACACCACAAACACAGCAAATACAAATACCACCTGAGGCACTTAAAACTTGATGAACACATTAGCTTGAATGTGTATCAAATAGTATTTCTACGGGAGAGACTAATAACAAGCTGAACATAATCCTGACGTTTACTTTACTGTTGAGTGAAGAAAAAACTTTATCGAGTACTAGAGAATTCCTTGAGTATCAACGAAAATATAGTGATCGTATGATACAATTAAAGTAATTGAGCTAGGTATATCTGCCCTTAAAGCGCTTTGATAAAGTTTCTTTGCTAAAATCTCTTCAAGTCGTAAAGAGGAAATACAACATAAAACGATTCCTTGAAAGCGATAAATTTGAAGGAATAAGAATTTAAAAAGCGTATAAAAAACAACTTTTGTATAATCAAAATAAAATGAAAGTAATTAAAATAAATTTAGAAGTTGTGAAAGGTCTTTGTGTTTCAGAAATATCAGATCAAAGATCACATTTTATAGATATATATTATTGCATATACTTCATCAAACTTCATGAATATTAAGCTTTAATAAAATTTTACATTTAAGGAATAATGCAAATCATCAAAACTCATAACAATAACTTTTAATTCTAACAATATCTATAAAGAATGGCAAAGTATTAAAATAAGAATGGCTCACCCATTTTGAGTCATCTCTTTTTTAGTCTGGGATCTAAACATCTACATACAGAGTTGATTATGCAGCATTTAAGAGTCATCATACTACAATTAAATTGTTTTAAAAGTAAAAACCATTTCATATACCTATAATATATTTATATATGTATTT